ATTCTCCTGCCTCAGCCTCCCGAGTAGCTGGGACTACAGGCGCCGGCCACCTCGCCTGGCTAGTTTTTTTGTATTTTTTTAGTAGAGATGGGGTTTCACCGTGTTAGCCAGGATGGTCTCAATCTCCTGACCTGGTGATCTGCCCGTCTCGGCCTCCCAAAGTGCTGGGATTACAGGCTGGAGCCACTGCGCCCGGCCTCAAGTAGATGTTTTTGATACAGATTTTTGTGTTATATTTGTGTGGCTGCTTTTAGACATTTTCAGAATTATTTTCTTTTTTGAAGATTAAGTTGAGATTGTTTTAGATAAAATAGTTACAAAAATAGTATAAAGAATTCCTCTATACGTATCTTCATCAGTTTCTCCAAATGTTAACATTTCAGTACATTTGCTTTTTCTCTGTTTTCTTCTCTAAGCATATATGTGTGTATGTGTATAATGATTGTTTTTTATAATCACTTAAAAGTAATTAATGTTATGTAATAACACTTTACCTCTAAGTACTTCCATTTGTATTTTCTAAAAGAAGGACTTTGTTTTTTTACATGACCTCAGAACAGTTGTCAAAACAAGGAAACTAAACTTGATGCAGTATTATTATCTAACCTAGAGACCTTAATCATATTTTTTCAATTGTAGTGTGGCTGTTTTTGATAGTATCCATTTGTGTTTTCCTCTTTGGGCTTCCTAAAATAAGTTTTATCACACCGTTACTGAGAATTGTGATATGAAGTCATGGAGTGTGTTTTTCAAACTGAATGTTACTTAAAAACTTAATATAATTTTTTTAAAAGCCAGCCTCATATATAACTTGCCCTTTTTTCTTTATAACTCAAATTATAGGTTTCTTAACTAAACTTTTCGTTAAGTTTATGGCTGTGTCTTATTATTAAGAAATAGATAATAAACTTAAACTTTATTCAGTGAGGAAACATTTATTGAGCAATTTCTCTTCTGCCTGTTTGTTTTACAAAAATAAATAAGATAGTCTTCTCTCCTCAAGAAGCTCATTGTTTAGTGAGAGAATTTTCTGTTCTGATGGGCTACTTATTAAGGTACATAAATTCATAGTCTTACCGTTTTGTGTGTTGAAAACTTATAGGCAAAAACCAATTCTTGTTTCATAAGCATGAAAATGGTATTTTGCAAAGACAGTCTACAATTCCTTATTTGTTCAAAAAAGCCCTTTCGAATATGAAAGGGGTTTTTTTATTCAACTTATATTTGAATGTAAGTTTTTAGTGAGGCTCTAGCTCCTTTGTCATGTATGATAAATGCCTTTCAAGGTGACTTTTAAGTAGCTGTAGTACAAATGATTGCTGCTACTGCTTTTGTCTAAATCAATTTGTGTAAGAAAGAAATCCAAAAACTTAAAAATTACTTTTAAGTTTTTTATTTTTATTTAAAGGTACTTTAGGTTTCAGTGATGAATCGAAGAAAGGAGGTGATTTTTCTTAAAGCATATCAAGTAAGAGCTACACTTGAATTTAAAATGCTTGGATAGAATTGGTCTTGTGTTACCATTTGGTCTGGCTTGCTTTGAAGTCTTAGACCCAAAGGGTCTTACCAGAAAATATCAAAGAGCAAAATGTGAAACATTAGCCAGGAAAAATAAAGTGATCAAACAGCTAAGGCATGAAAGAAAATATTTACACCAGAAGAAGCTTGCAGTTGATTCAAAAGACAAATATTAAGGAACAACAAAGTAAAATGTTACCATCTGTTTCAAAATACTGTAAAGAGTTGGAAATCAGGCATTCATTTCAGTTGGCCAGTAGCTTGATACCTTGTTAAAACATCAAACAGATGATGAAAGCCACTTTATTTACCTCATCAGTCATACTCACAGCAAAGTTCTGGTAATTGTCTTTGAGTGTTAAAATGCTATGATACAGAAGAGAAGGTTGTTGAAAAAAGATGACCTACATTAAATAATTCTAGGGCTTATTATTTTTTAATAGTTTTCCTATGATTAAAAGGGAAACTAAAATATTTGAAACAAAGTTTATCTCTGTCCTGTCAGAAGTTTTTGATATAACAATGTACCTATAGTTTTGCTTGATTTTTCATTATTATCATTTTTCAGTTAGATGTGCTGGAAATCAGGAATAAAGATGAACACTGACTTCTGGATATATTGTGGTGATGATAAAAGTACACCATTGCATTTGTATTAAATTTTTCATTCTTATTAAATGTCTTTATAGATTCACTAACATTTATTACAGCTTTATGAGGTAGGCAGTAATATTCCAGTTTTACAGATGAAGAAACCTAAATCACATATAGAATATGTGGTAGAACTGAAATTAGAACACAGGTATTATAACATCTAGTATAGTGCTGCTTCCACTACACTTCAGCTGTTTCTAGAGGTATCACACATTCATTTAGAAGAGCAATATCATCATCTTAGGGTAAAATAACACAATACAAATTTGTATATGAGAGAAATACACAAGCAAATCATAAGAAGATACTGGTATCACATCATCATTCTATTAAAAAGAAAAAGGAGTTAAAAACCAAATTTACCCATTTGAATTTAAGTCATAATTCCTGACTTAATTGACTTGTATTTTGAAAGTAAATAAGTACTAGCATTGATAGTTTGAGGAGGTTGTAGAAAAGATAGGAAGAAAAACAGAAATATTTGAATGTCTACTTAATATACATTACATAGATGAAACATATATTTAAATATGTTTTGATTATAATCATCATTGTAAGAGGATATAATTTAATCTAACTGGTTTTAAAATCTAGATTGTGGGTGCTCATGAGTAAATCTGACAATAAATGAAGAAGGGGCATGCACATATGTAATAAGTATGGCAAAATTTCACTCCATCTCTCGTCTAAAACTGTTCTTATTCCTTTTATTTCTAGGAACTGGGATTCAAATTTAGCAATTGCTCCTATGTGTAATTCTTATTTACTACCTGCTTTTTAAATTGTCATTTGTAAGGCCATCCTAGTGGGCATTTTTGATAGGAATTTTTTTTTTTTTAAGCAAAACTATACTGAGTATATCCTCTATTTAAGGCTCATTGGTAGTTGTAGAGGATTTATAAAAAGATACGCAAGTGCCCTCAGGTATATAATTCTTTGTTTTCTAATTGAGATGGGAGGTTAAATTTTTGTACATGAAATATATAGTGTATAAAATGTATAGCATCATACCATGTATAGCTTTTATAAGATATAGAACAGGCAAAATGAGTACTTTATAGAATCAAATCAGGTATTGATGGCAGTGGCGGCCTGTGTGGAATGGGCACTACCATGATGCCGGCTGCAGTGGGGGAGGTGTTGCTGGGGCTGTCACTTCACAGAGCCTATAGGGGCCAGGAGCAGACAGGAGCCCCACCTTCCCGGGCACAGCTGCAGCTGCCCAAGTTGGTGCTGCAGACCTGGGCTTCCCGGTGCTCTTGGGGGCTGGAAGCAGACAGGAGCCCTGCTCTCCCAGGTGCAGCTGTAGGCTCAGAAATGTCTATTCCCACTGCCTGACCCCTCCCTCCTCCCTGTACCCACTCTGATCTTGGAGGGAGGTCGGGGCCAAGCCCAGGTGCTGTTGGACCCCGGCTGGGTGTGTGCACACTCGAGGCAGCACTGACACTCCAGCCCCCTGCTGCCTTGACCCCCTGTGGACTTTGGACACCAACAGGCGAGGGAGAGAGTCCGAAGGGGGGCTGAGGGCAGCTCAGCGCTGGCCTGCAGGCGCTTCTTGGCACAAATAGCCTGGGTACCATGAAGCGACAAGAGTCAGACAGGTTCCTGGGTAGAAGGGGGCAGGTCCCTGGTGAAGCCCTGCCTTCAAGCCGTTGAGGGACTGAAGCCTGGGAGATGGGCTGCCAGTCCCGTGGACCTGAGTGGGAACTTGTGGTGCTTTTTCTGGGCCCACCCATGGCCGCCCATGGACCAATGGATGTGCACTTCTTCCCTCTGAGGACCATAACAACCCTGGACTCAGCCAGACTTGAGCAGATGATGGATGGCCAGCTACAGAGAGCAACTACCCACCCCAGGGTCTTCTCTCTGCTGAGGGCTGAACACTCATAGGGACACCCCACCTGAGGGGAGAAGCTATCCACCCTAGGGTCTCCTCTCAGCTGAGTGCTGAACACTCATCGGGACACCCTGCCTGTGGAGAGGAAGTACCCACTGTGGGTCTCCTTAGGTGTTCTATAGCTGGATAAATCTCTTCAGCTTACTCACCCTCCACTTGTCCGTGTACCTTATTTCTGGATGCAGGACAAGAATTTGGGACCTGCCAAATGGCAGAGCTAAAACAGCTATAACAAACAGGGCTGAAACAACCCCTTGCCTGCCACAATGCGGGTGGCAAGGAAAGAAGACAGAAGGAGAGAGGAGCTGCAGCCCTTTGGGGATCCCAGACCTAGGAGCTTTCTGAGCCAGGGCTGTGACACTCTCTTTGGGGCTCTGCAGTTCCTGACATCTCCAAGTTTCCGTGCACAACCATGTTCCCTGGTGCCAGCCATGGAAGCTGCTTGCAACACATGTGGTCCAACCACAGCCTTGCAGGAAGCCAGCGCCGTGTGAGCACCTGGACCTGCCCGCTGTGCCACAGCCAGTATGCCTGGCTGTGCATGGTGACCAGACCCCACACTCACTCATAACCCCTTGCCACTCCATGCCTGGCTCTCCCTTGGCCAGCATGGCATCCAGGCCAGTAGCACAAGCTGAGCACAGCCTGCCAGTCCAAGTGGATGGAACGAGCCCAGTGGGTCCAAGCAAAACTCAGGCAAAGACACCACTGGCCACAGAAGTTTCCACCTGACAAAGTGACACCACAAAATCCCGTGATAGTATATGTTCCTTTATGGAAAAAATATAAATCTTTTTGAGAGACATTAAAGAAGACATAAATAAATATGGAGATACCATGTTTATAGATGGTTAGAGTCAATATTGTTAAGATGTTAGTTCTCTACAACCTGTCTTTATTTCTTATCTATTTTCAATAAAAATTCAACTGTATGTGAAAGAGAAAATACTTGGCAAGATAGTTTTAAAATGTATATAGAGAAGAACAAACACCCACAAAGAGCCCACATTTTCCCAAAGAGAAGCTAAAAGGTACGTATGTTTTGAGAGGTCTTAACAATTATCAGTAATTATTTAATAAAATACATTTTATATGAAAATATTTTATTTAAAATAGTGTAATAGTATACTCTTAGGCAAATTGACCAAATGAACAGATGAAGGAGCCAAGAAACAAATCTCTGTACGTGTGGAGATTTGATTTAGTATACAGCTGGCACTGCAGACTAGTTGGGGAGAAAGAGGTTTCAATAAAGGGAACAGGGCTCAATTGCTTATTTATGTAGGAAAATAAGTTGTACTTTGTCTGACCTCATATGAAAAATGAATTCTAGATGGATCAAGAAACTTAAATATAAAAGGCTAAACTGAAACTTTGAGAAAATTAACAGATTATTTTGACAAAATCATTAAGTATAAGGAAAAAAGTTTAATTCACCTGAAAGATAAGAACTTCTTATTCATAAACAGATACCATAAAGAGAAAGAAAAGACAAAACCACAAAGTGGTAGAAAATATTTCGAGTCGTAATTACTGAAGAAGACATTAGTGTCTGGAATTAAAGAAAAAATGTGCAGTAAAAGATTATCATAGAAAGCCTAAGACTGCTATCCTTAGAAACTAAGTCCTGCTAGCAATGTTTGCCCTTGGCTGTTGCCTTGAAACTTGGATTGCAGAAATGTTCCCATGGATCCCTAACTGCTGAGGCTAGTTTACTGTGCTTGTAAACAACCAAAGTGGTTTATGCTGAGCACTTGCTTTCCTTCTTGAGTTCTTGAATTTTTGTACATGCCAGGCAGAGAGTGCCTGTGTGACAAGTCCCAAATAAAATCCTTGGATTTTCAATGGGCTTCTCTGGCCAGAAACATCACATAACATTTGTTCTTCAAGATTGGAAAGAAGTTCAAAAAAAAAAAAGAAAAGAAAACTAAAGATACATCACATACATGGTGCTACATTTTTGTTGCTGGAAGAAGAATGTATTCTATGTGATCCCTGATAGGAGAGAGAGAGCATAAGGAAGCCTCTATATAGGTTCCTTGAGACTCCCTCTCTGTCTTTGTTCCTTGTGATTCAGCTATACCCTTACTGTGTCACTGTAATAAATCTTACAAGACTTACTTGCTAAGTCTTGTAAGTCTTTCTAGTGAATTTTTAAACATGAGAGTGGTCTTGGGGACCCCAAAATAACTAGAGAAATAAGCAAAAGACTTGAATGGGCATATCACACAATAATAAACCCAAATGACTAATAAACATGTGAACATTTGCCTCAATGTCATTAATTTTCAAGGAAATGCAAAGTAAAACCACAATAGATTTTATATACCAGATTGTTAAACATTAAAAAGTCTGTCAAATATCAAGTGTTGGTGAAGAAGTAAAACAATAGGAATAGTCATTCACTGCTGGCAAGTGTATAGATTGGTATAACTCCTTTTGAAAAACATTTGGCATTGTTTAATGAAGTAGAAAGTGCACATATCCTATGGCTTAGAAGTTTGGTTCTAGGTTGTTAACATTGGGAACCTTTTGCAGATGTATACCATACATGGCATTCTGTGCAATGTTGTTCATAATATTAATAATAAAAAGCAGGAAACAGCTTAAATGCCATTGCTATTTGAATGTATAAATTATGATATATTCGTATAATAGAAAAAAGAATTTAATGGATACAGCTTCATGCAACAATATAGATAATCTTGATTGAAAAGGCAAAAGAATACAGTCATCCTAATTCCAGTGTTATAAAGTTCAGAGATGTGCTTGACTAAACAGTACATTTTTTAGGGATACAAATATGGTAAAACCATCAGGAAATGGAAGAGAATGACAAACACAAAAATTCCAGGTATCTTCTCCTCTGGAGGAACAGGAATGGAGATACAATCAGGGAGAAGCACAAAGGGACTTTCAGTGATAATTTTATGTTCTTCACTTAAACTGCTTCTTGGTACATGGGTGTTCATTGAAGCTTTCTTCTTTATACCTTATCCATATTTAAGAGGCAGTGTTTTGCATTTATTCAATATTTGCTAAACCAGTTTTCAAAAACCTTTTATGTCAGTGAAGTTGTGAGGAAATAGGCACTGTCATGTATTACTTATGACAATATAAATCAATATAACCTCTCCAAAGGGCAACTTGGTGTGATAAGTCAAAATTTAAAATGCACATACCATATGATCTTGGAGTGCCACTTCTAAGAATATATCTGTCATTCATATGCATATACTTGTGGGATATGTAATAGTCATAATATATTCATCTCATTATTGGTAATAGCAAAAGAATGGAAGTTCCAAAATGTTTTTGTCAAATTAAGAGCATCAATGAAATTATTGGCAGTTTTCAAAAAGAATGAGAAAACTCTATACTTGTGTTTTTAAAGAACAATCTCTAAAATATACTTTAAGTGGAAAAAGGGTACATAGCAATATGTATAGTGTTTTACCATGTGGGGCAGAGGTGATGAGTGGACAAAGTTATATATACATAAATATGTCAGGGTGACAGGGGTATAGAGATAGGAGTTTTACTTTTCAATTTATATCTTTTTATAACATTAACATTCTTACTACTAAAAGTAATAAATACTTTTTTAAGAGATAAAATGAGCTTTAAATAGTAATTCAGTATTAAGGGAAGATAGGCAGTAAGAGGGAAGGAAAAACACTTGGAAGCCAGAGAGAAGTAAATAAAGGAGTTAATGCTGGAGGGAAACATGAGGGTTTTAAAACTGTTTGAGACTTGTGTATATTTACTCTTGATTCCTTGACATTGAAGGTCTGTATTATAATGGTTAGTTTAGAATGCTTTCTAGCAACAGTTGTTAATTTAATTGCATGGGACTTTTACATAGATCTTACCACACTGATTGTAAAAATGTACTATTGCTTCTTTCCGTGTTGTAATTATTCATTATTTTAATGTGTCATTACAGGTATCCCTCATACTTGGCCCCTGAGGTAATTGCACAGGGAATTTTCAAAACCACTGATCACATGCCAAGTAAAAAACCATTGCCTTCTGGCCCCAAATCAGATGTATGGTCTCTTGGAATCATTTTATTTGAGCTTTGTGTGGTATGTATAAAGAAATATTAGTATAATAAAAAGAAATTGTGCATTTATTGGAATAATCTTTTGGAGAGGAAAGTTAATAATAATATGTTTTTGCTGTACAAATTGATTACATATGAGGAGAAAAGGCTTAATTTGGCTTAATTATGTTTGATAATTAATTTCACATATTTTTTGGCATCTCTAGAAACATACTTTTACTAAGTGTGAATGTAAATGTTACCAGATGTGTATTATTTTGGAATCTCTGTAATGTGTATATTTTTACAAAGTTAAGATGTTTATATTAAGTTATATAAGATATATGGAGTACCATTAAAAGTTTAACAAGATATTGAAGTCAAAACCATGTTTTTGGAAGATTGATATGACAATAATGTAAGATTGAGAAGAACAGCAGTTTTTTTCAATGATGTCTACCTGTAGTTCTGATTTGATAAATGTTTAAGAACATTTTTTCTTCTCTATTAAAAAAAATCAAAACATCTCTCTTTTTTCTATAAACACCAGATAATCTTAAGCCTTTTCCTTCTAAGTTTATTTAAATGATCATATAAGCTTAATTTGTTTATGATAAGAGGAATATAATTATAGCCAACATTAATGAAGCATTCTGCGTTATGTAACCCTCACCATAACCTGTGGTATATATACAGTTAATATTTTAATTTTACAGATGAGAAAAGTGAGACTTCAGATGGTTAAGTAGTTTGCCCAATTTATGTAACTATTTGGTGGTGGGAGAGTCCAATTTGGCACACATTCATTGCTCAACTCATAAATGCTGAAGGCATAAGTGTTTAACTCCAGACCTTATATCAAGGAGCCTCCTGAGGCAGACTAATAAGGAAATAATTAAAATATAATGTGTGCATCTTAAAATATACCAGGTGCTGTAGGAGCATGAAGGATGACTGTGTGAAGTTATTGTGGTAAGAGAGTGCTATGAAATTTTTTAATGGAGAAACAGGCTACCTGGATCATAATATTTAAGTAAGAATTAGCTTGGTAGATGAAAGGGTATAATCAGTCTTACCCAGGGGACATCTTGCTCTCAATAAAGTAAGACTCCACGTGGCCTGGAATACCTCTAGATATCCAGGTATGTGTTGATCTCAAAAGTGAACAATGCTTACATCAAACTAGAATATAATGACCCTTAGATGTATGAAATGTTTAAATGATACATATTATGCAACACTTTCTAAAATGTTATTTCACCTGTAATTTTTCTTTAGTGGAGCTGACTTTAAAAATCCAATAAAACTTTTGGAGATAAATGGAGATGCCTGATAAAATCAGTTTCAGCTATAAGGGGAGAAAAATACCTTCCTAGAAGAAACGTGTAAATATTAACACAAATTTCTTTTCTCATTTTATTTAGGGAAGAAAATTATTTCAGAGCTTGGATATTTCTGAAAGACTAAAATTTTTGCTTACTTTGGGTAAGTGTCATATAATTGCTTATCTTTCAGATATAAATATAACTTAGTAACTGTTAGTAATCATGCACATTGAGGATATGTTCTTTTGAAATAGTGAGGACACTGAAATATACCCCTTTTACTCAAGTTGCTAATGATCAGTGGTAATGATCAGCAGAACAGCATATGAGGTCCCTTCTAAAACATTACAGCAGAAATGTCTTTATTCTATGAGGAATTTTAACCTAGATGGAAATAATCTTAGCTTTATGATCTAGCCAAGTAAATTAACTTGTGAAATCAAAATATGAGAATATAAAATTGTATTTCTGTAGCAGTTTACCTTCAGGCAATGTATCTTAACTTTTGGGCTATCTTTCTATTTGATGAATCATGTACAAATAACAACTCAAGAAGAATATTGATTTTTTCCATATAAAAGGCTCATACAAATTTTCATGTGTGTGGATCCAAACATGTATAATTCAAATTAATAAAAATTTATGTAATCTACTTTCGAGTGGAATTAATTAAGCACGTTTGGTAATTAAGGAGAGAAAAACAGTGATAGAACACTTTATGCAAAAGAGTGACAGATTAGTATCCAAGTTAAAAAGATTTACAAATAAGAATATGCACAGAAAAGTATTAGTGAACATTAAATAATAATGAGTTATAAATAAATTTGCAAAAGTTTTACCAGATTTACCACATTTAATTACAAAGATTGATACTACAGCTATTAAGAAGCCTTGGAGATTCTTAAATATGGTCTGTAATCTAAACTTATACTTTAAATTCCCAAATCAATGTAAGTACATTTTCCAAATTATGTATAATAAAAATAAATTAGTCTTGTAATCATAAAAACAAATCTACAAAGCCTTCTTAAAAAGCGCTGTTTATGTACAGTCATTTCTTGAAGAGGATTGGTTCTAGCACCCCCACATGTACCAAAATCCATGTGTACTGAAGTTCCACAGTCGGCCCCACAGAACCCATGTGTATGAAAAGTCGGTCCTCCATACATGCAGATTTTGCATCCACAAATACTGTATTTTCAACCCATGTTTGGTTGGAAACAATCCACAGATAAGTGGCCCTATGCAGTCTAAACCCATGTTGTTCAAGGGTCAACTATGTGTGTCCTCATGTATATATTTAGACAGAGAGAACTAGAGTATCTTTACCTTCCTTGTAAAGGAGTTGCTCCTTTATCAAACTGTTTTAAGCTGATATCTTTCAGTGTCAGTTATTCAATTAGTATTTGTCTGAAGCTTTTCATTTTTATCAAAACTTGTAAAGAAATTTAACAAAATGATAAAGTTTTCAGTATTTTAAGTTCCAAAACTGCACTACTGCATTAAAACATTTTTGATCAGTTTCTTTTCTGATTTGTTGGATAGATTAGAAAAGTAGCATTTATTCATATAGTTTTTCTGTTTTATAGACTGTGTAGATGACACTTTAATAGTTCTGGCTGAAGAGCATGGTTGTTTGGACATTATAAAGGTTTGTCATTAATCTGGGTCTTAGTCCATTTGTGCTGCTATAAAAAAATACCTGATATTGGGTAACTTATAAAGACAAAAATTTATTTTTCCACAGTTATTGAAACTAGGATGTCCAAGTTCAAGGCACCAGTATGTTTGGTTTTCTGGTGAGGGCTGCAGTCTTCTGAGAGAGAAACACTGTCCTCACAAGGTGGAAGGGCAAGCTAGGCAATTGCTATGTGAAGTCTCACCTTTATAAGCCTCTTAATGCCATTCACCAGGGGAAGAGCCCTTGTGACCTAATCACTTCTTAAAGGCCTCACCTCTTAATATCATCACATTGGCCATTAAGTTTCAAAGTTCATTAAGCCTGAACTTTGGAGGGGACACATTCAAATCATAGCAATCTCTTCATGAAAATTTATTTTACGCACTTGGGATCCACTTGGAAGCTATTTTAAAGCAATGCTTATTTCTCTTTAAGTATTTGCTTTTTCACAGTGACAAAATTTGTATAAAGTACAAATAAAAACTTTTAACATATCAAAATCTTCTAGCTTAGCAAACGTTTGAATAAAGTATATTTCTAAAATTGATCATTTTAATTAATTATTTTCTCTCTTTATTTACCAGGAGCTTCCTGAAACTGTGATAGATCTTTTAAAGAAGTGCCTCACCTTCCATCCTTCTAAGAGGTTGATATTTAGAGATTGGGATTACATTGAGATCCTTTACACATAAACAATTGATTTTTTTCATATTCATTTTAATATAATGGATTAAATAAAGATAATGTACATATGTAGTAGTATATAATTGACATCAGTATCATAACCATGAATGATGTAAGCTTTCGTTTTTTGTGAATAAATGAAAAAGTAATTAAAGTTAAACTATGGTCAGAAAACTGACATATACTAAAGAAGTTACTAGTTCATTTCCAAGCTTTTAAGTAGAATATCAACTAAGACTGGAATGTAGGTATTCCTAGACCCAATAATAACATCAGTGAAATGAGAATAAAAGTTTGTTATCAATATGTGTTATAGCAGTGAACTTGGATAAGTGGTGTGATAAACTAACAACTGTTGATAATAAAAAAGGATTTCTTAGAAGTTTCATTAATTGACTTTGACTTGATGATGTCACTAGTAGTCATACAGCTATCCCTAAACTCCTTTAGTATATAATGTTTGAAAATAGTGTATACAAATTTGTCTTTAGAAAAACAACTTTATCAAGACATGTTAGAGAGAAATAGTAGTTTTGTGTGGATGTACCACATTAAGGGACAGGAAGAAAAGCCAAAAGGTATTATTATAATAGCTTGCATATTTATTATTTAATTAAGATATTCAGTAAAGCAGGTGAATGCTAGTCAGGCTAAAAGTAAACAATGCAAAAGCTTTTATGGAATGGTATTTTTGATACATCATGAGGTAAAGTACAACATAAGTAAAAAAAAATCAGTATTTACTCACAGTTATTTGATTGTAATATAAAAGTATGCATCTAGACTCTGCAAAGGAAAGCTGTATTATTTTCTGTGCTAATGAGGTGTTTAAGACTTTCAACCAGTCTCTTGAATGTATGCCATTATTTTAGGAAATTTTTTATGACTTTCATTCATGCTCTGTATTTTAAATGTTCTCAAGGCCAACCCCAAGTGAATTAATGAAGGACAAAGTGTTCAGTGAGGTGTCACCTTTATATACCCCATTTACGAAACCTACCAGTCTGTTTTCATCTTCTCTGAGATGTGCTGATTTAACTCTGCCTGAGGATATCAGTCAGTTGTGTAAAGGTAATGATAAATTAAAGCATAGAAAATGAGCCTTGTTTTTAAAGGAAGTTTCCTTATCCTACTTTCAGTTTTGAATTTATCAACAAAATATATTAGTGGAGGCCAGGCGCGGTGGCTCAAGCCTGTAATCCCAGCACTTTGGGAGGCCGAGACGGGCGGATCACGAGGTCAGGAGATCGAGACCATCCTGGCTAACAC